GGGTGGGTAGGTTTTGTTTTCTTTAGATGTTTTAGAGGGCTTTAGTTGGTTTGTGTGCTACAGATGCCATGTGGTTATAACAGTCTGTTGGTAGTTTCTGAGACGTTTCTGATGTATGGCAGTGTGATCCTTTTCATAGCTTGTGTTGGTGTATTGTAGTAGGTTGAGTGGTCAGGCACTTTTTGATAAAGTTGCATTGATACCCATTTTGTTGGAAGATGTTGTATAAACAAAACAAAACCTACCCACCCACCCCCACCAACACTGTCAAGGAGTGCCACAGTATATAAACAGAGAGCAAACCCCACTCCATTCTAGCACTGAAGATGTTGCCTAGCCAGCAAAATGTTTGCAAGAAAACAACCAAGCTCAGAGAACCCCAAGGACTCCACAGTTCAACCCTGAGCTACACATATTTACTTCTGTTGGTGAAGAAGCTGCTATTGACGGAGGGAAGTCTGGTGACTGAACTACATCTACAGATCAGGGCATCTTTTCCCCCTTGGCTTTTTAGTGAGAGCTTGGGAATTCAGGAGCTGATGTATCCAAAAGATCAGGAGAGAATTTGATCTCTATGTCTTGGTTTGGTTTGAGGTATCTGCGCACCCAGCTGCAACCACCAGGTATTCGTGCTGGGCATTTTTGTTGTAGCTATAATGTAGGCTTCAAGGATGAGGCATCATCCATGGGCAGCTTCTGCCCAAGATTGTTGTGAGCTAACGAGGATATGTTCTTGCCATTGACTAATTAGGGGCCTGTGCAAGATTTGAAATAGTTGCTTCCGTAAAGGAGTCTTGCAGTTCTCTATGTTTCAACAATTCACTTCCAAGCTCAGCTACTACGGAAGTGATCTGTGAAATTACAGTGAAGTAGTACATGACTTTTTGGCTTCAGCTTGCTTTTCCTTGCTGCCCTATTCTTATACTCTAAAGGGTCAAAGGAAGAGCAGTGAGCTTTGATCTTGGCCAGGATGATTCGTTTTTCTTCTCTTTGGTGTAGAAGACTTAGCTAAGTTGGTTGATGAAACTATGAGCTTAGTGCTATAATGTTTATCTTTGTGAGTCTGGAATAGATCAGTAAGTTGCTAAGGGTTGAGCTCCTGTCCTGGATGACCTCTGATCCTATGGAAAACCCCATGGAGCTGCTGTTGTCCACCTGCTTTCTTGTATTTTTTCAGACTTTTATATTTCTATAGGTTCGGGATACCTGAGGGACCACCTGACTCCCATGGTTTCTGCCTGTCTGGTAACATCTGGCAGAGCCTGTATGCTTCAGGTCCCTTCAATCAAATAATGCCACCAGTTGGGATCCAGGAAGGGTGCCTTCTCTGTCATAGCACCTGCCCTCTGGAATGAGATCCCCCAGAGATCTGTATGTCTCCTGCCTGATGATGTTGCAGAAGTCTTTAAAAACCTGACTGTTCTCCCAGGCCTGGGGTAGGATGTTCATGGAGCTCCGTTGGTTTTGTTTTCTGCTTGAGGTTGTGTGTTTGTTCAGGTGTTTGGGATTTCTACTCCAGTGTTTTCCTTTTATTGTTTTCTACATTTAGTGTGAGACCCCGTTCAGTGTCGGGATGGTTAAGGGACCTGGCTAGAAACTGGGAG